ATACCTGTTGGCCATTTGTATGTCTTCTTTTGAGAAGTGTCTATTCTCTGTATTTGCCCATTTCTTAATCTGACTTTTCTTTTTTTTTACTATTGAGTCATTCAAGTTCCTTGTACATTAAAGATATTAATCCCTTGCCACATACATAGTTTACAAACATTTTCTCCCATTCTGCAGGTTGTCTCTTCACTCTGTTGATTGTGTTCTTTGCTGTGCAGAAGCTTTTTAGTTTAATATAATCCCATTTGCCTATTTTTGCTTTTGTTGCCTGTGCTGTTGACGTCCTCTTCATAAAGTCATTGCTTAACGTGATGTCTTGAATTATTTTCCCTATGTTTTCTTCTAGTAATTTTATATTTTTGTACCTTACATTTAAGTCTTTAATCAATTTTGAGTTGAATTTTATAAAAGGTGAGAGATAGGGGTCTAGTTTTATTCTACTGCATATGAATCTCCAGTGTTCCCAGCACCATTTATTGAAGACACTATCCTTTACTATGTTGATACTCTCTTTGCCTTTGAAAGAATCAGCTGGCTGCAAATGCATTGCTTTATTTCTATGTTTTCTATTCTGTTCCATTGGTCTGTGTATCTATTTTTCTACCAGTACCTTGCTCTTTTGGTTACTACAGATTTATGGAATATTTTGAAGTCAGGCAGTGTGATGCCTCCAGCTTTGTTCCTTTTGCTCTCGATTGCTTTGGCTATTTGGGTTTTTTTGTAGTTCCATACAAATTTTAGGATTGTTTTTCCTAGTTCTGTGAAGAATGTCATTGGTATTTTGTTAGGGATTGCATTGAATCTGTAGATCACTTTTGGTAGTATGGTCATTTTCACAATATTAATATTTCCAAACCATGAACATGGAGTTTCATTCCATTTCTTTGTGTTCTTCTTCAATAGTGACAGAGTAAACAGAAGGAGACTTTACATATGCAGTACAGGCCTATGTAAAATTATTAAGCTCACAAGTCAGAAATAAAACATGTTTATACATATACGTGTATATGTGTTCATATAAAACATGCATGCAGATATTTTTATAGATTGCTGCACAAATCTGTATATACATATATTCACATCTAAACAATGTTACCTGACTATATATGTATGTATACACACACACACACACACACACACTCAAGCACACACAATGCATATGCACAAAATTATAAGGTGCCAAGGAAATGATGCTCAGCTTTTCTGGGACCATCTACAGAAAGACTTATGGGAACCTAGATGATGGAGGAATATCAAGAAAAAATATACCGAAGCACAGTATCAGTCATACACGCACTTTGTTAGGTAGTTTTCTTTCTATACTCAGTCTTTTCCTTAACATATCGCATATATAAAAATACTGATTTTTTTTCTTTTTTTTTCTTTCACCTTAAAACTTAGACCTCAGGAGAAATTTATGACTCAAGAGGGAAGATGGATGCACAGCTGAAGGGATTTGGGTTTCTCCATGGTTTGGAAAGCGGTGAGTGTGCTATTATTTCTGAAGAAAAGACTTGCAAGTCGGGGCCAGTAAGAGAATGTTTCCATTCTTACAACACCCAGGTTTCAGGAGGTCATCTTTAGCTGTAACCTGTAATTGAATAGGTGACGCAACTCTCTGCAACAAAGCCTCCACTGGAGAGGGCCCGCCCTTGTGGGGTCTCTCATTCAAGGTCCTGACTGTCTCCTGAAACTGCCGTGTCCACCCCTTCAGGGATGGGGGTTGGGTGGACAGCCACAATCCCTGTTTCAAAAGACCTTTGTACTGTTCAATCATGCCCACTGTCTGGGGGTTATAAGGCACATGTAATTGCCACTGAATACACAACTGGGAAGCCCACTGCCATACTTTATGTCCAGCAAAGTGGGTTCCATTATCACTCTCTATGGCCAGGGGTCAACCATACATGGCTGTAAGGCTATTCGATGCCTTGATAGAGCTTGCCTGGTCTGGGGCCTTACAGGGCCATACAAACAGGAGTCCTATAGCTGTATCAACAGCTGTGAAAATGTACCTGAAATTCTATGATGTAGGAAGTGGTCCCACAAAATCTACCTGCCATCGGGTCAGGGGCACCCTTCCCTGAATTATCTGCCAATCGGTGTGTGGCACCCATTGGGGGTGTGGACTCTGTTGACCACATACCAGACAAATGTGACATGCATTTACCACATCTTCTCATTTTGTAGGCAGGGCCTACCTTTGAGCCACCATTCACATGTTTTTGCTGCTGCCATGCTGCATCTATCAGTGTAGCCATTGGGCTACATCATTTCCTGGAGCTCTCTCCAACCACCTTACCTTAGCCAGT